CCTTGTGTAAGCGTGGCCTGCTGCCAGGCCTCAGTATTTCTAATTGTTTGGCAAACTTCTCACCTAGGTGATGATTTTTTAAAAAATACTTTCCACTATTCCACTATTTGAGGACCAGCACTTATAGAACGAACGCCAGCAAATAATAATAATAAGAGAAAAGACAACGGTCGCAAAACAAAGAGGTGGCCGTTTGTGCCGAGGCGCTCCCGCCCGGCCCGGCCGCGGGCACCGGCCCCCCCGGGGCGCGCGCGGCAGGATGGCGGCGGCCGCTGCGGCGCAGTCGCTGGCGGAGCGTTTCGGCACCTACGAGGAGTACCTGGAGTCGCAGGTGACGGCGCAGGACCTGTATTACCTGGAGGTCAGCGCGGAAGTGGGGAGGAAGCCCCCTGGCCATCCCCAGATGCCCCTCCGGGAAGCCCAATGTTGTCCCTTCCCGCCCCGGGCCTGCGGTGAGGCGGCGCCAGGCCCCGGCCGGGGAGGAGCTGGACACGTTTTACCCTGTGATACTTCCAGTACCCCTTATCTGAAGCGTTCTCACTAGTAAAACCCCCCACCCTTAGGGAATTAACTGTGTTACTGATAGCCGGTGTCTCTCGATGCAAACTGGCTGTGCCAGAGGAAGGTAGCACAGCTTTTGTGTGAGGATAAACTCTGAGAACGGTACTGAAGCTTGCCAGAAATGCTGTCATGGAGAAGGAGGCATGCCAGGGTTGCCCCAGGCTTGAGCTCAGCTCATCAGGCAGGGCTAGGAAGAAGAGTGAACCTAAAATGAAGTGACCCTAAAATTCAGGACTGGGACAGAAAGCCTTTTGTGAGCAAGAGTTTGTTGTGTGTGGTTTACTGTTCACATCCACACACCAAACACCCCAATTTGGCTACATAAAAGGAGCCAAAGGCAGAGGGGCTGGCTTTAACATGCAAAGGCAACACATGCAGCTAAATTGTTGGAATAAGGAATAAGATCTTGCGCATTTCCAGCATATACAAAGGGTGATGTTTAGGGTGAGTTGTTCCAAGGAGGTGTGTGGTTCAAGAATTCATGTATTGGTGATACTGGAAGGGTATTTATTGATGGAGGGGATTTTGACCTCTAAAAATGCTATGAATGTGCAGTGTTAGCCAGTGCTCAGCTGAAAGCACTTTGGGGAAAGTCACAGAAGACTTTCTTAGAAGGAAGGTGGTGTTAAAAGTGACTGTTGTTGTTTCTAGCTTTGCTTTCAAAGGCAGTTACCCATCCTCATTTGGCTTGTATAACTCAGGAGAGAGTCTGGTGGCATCCTGACACCCTCTGAGGAGTTGGCCTGAGCAGAATTCATGTGTGGTATTTCCCGTGGCACTTTGCCTGGTAGGGCTTATCAGGTGCCCCTACTTCAAAAGGAAATACCTCACTCTGCTGCCTCTGTGCTGAACTCATCAGTGCTACTCTTGGGTGCAAGTGTTATTTAAAACGTCTAGCTGGAAACCATGTTCAAATGGTACAAATTGGTAGTTTAAGGGGAGAGAAACCTGTGTGAATACAAGTGCAGAGGGGTGCAGGTGCTTTCCGAGGGCCTAGGTGTGATGCAGGTGGAGTAAGAACTGGAAGGAAGGTGCAGGTTTTTAGCTGCTAGCTAGGCTGTCTTCCCTGCTACCAGGTGTGTTGTGGGCATGCCAGGGCTATGGAAGCATTGAACCGTGTCACTGGGTGGTGACACACGCTCGTGGTTGCGGTGGCGCTGTGGGGCTGCTGCTATCCCAGGCTCAGGGGGTGCGGGCAAGGGGGGCTCGTCCCTAATGGGGTGTCCTCACCTGGCTTTGCCTTCCCACAGAGCGAGGCGGTGGCACGGCAGCTGGTGGAGCTGGGCTTCCGTGGCTCTGGTGACGTGCTGCGGCGGGAGGACTTCGAGGCCCGTGTGGAGGAGGCTGCAGGGCTGCCGGCACCTGTCTCCAAAAAGTAAGTGCCTGCGGGGAATGTCTGTGTGCTGCAGACATGTGTTGGTGCACACCGGGTTGGCGTTTGCTGGCAAGGGCACCCTCATTAGTATGACCTCTGTGCTGCTGTGACTAAATGGATCTCGTCTGGCCAAGCGTGCTCTAACCATTCGTGTCCAAAAGTAGAGTCCTGACTGTATAGAGTTTCAGTGTGTACATGAGACAGTTTGATTACTTTTCATTTTTGACAGTCTTGTTCTTGGTTCAAATGCAAGTCAAGGATGTGCAAGAAAAACAGGGAATATAGTGACAGAACAGAGACAGCGTTTGAGAAAAGGAAAAAACTGTAGTTAGGCTTTAAGGATGGAGCTGAGTCATGTAGTCCAGAGTTTTTCCTGTATACAGGGTCTGCTAGTCTTGGTTCCTTGTAGTGTTTCCTTGGAGTCAGGGAGACTGCTGTGGCAGTGCACTCTGAACAGAAGCTACCTGAGGCTGAGCACTCTTAAGTTCATGAGAACTATCACTTAGGAAGAGTCTTAAAAGGGTCTCTTGGACATGGTTGCAAGTGGTCTACTTTACGTGGATGATTTTACATCCATTTCCACAAGCCTTTGATGGGAGAGCTGATAGTTCCAAAAGTCTCTCAGAGAGGAAGTTCAAGTGGAGTGTGTTAGCTTTTTTTCTTACTCCTACCTCTCACTTCCCCAAGCTTTTACAATCTCATACCAGTTACAGTGTGCACACCGCAGCATGTGCTTTCCACAGACCTCTAATTTCATGGTGAGTTCAGTGCTTCTGTGATGCCATGATGCTGCTTTCCAATGCAAAGGGATTGAAAGGACTCCACCAATCCATAATCATCCCTTCCATCCAAGTAAAACAGTGCAAGTCCTTTACCAAAGGCTAGAGAATAGGCTCTTGCTGTTCCTGCAGCAATGGTCTGCCTGAATCAATACACACAGAAACACGAGTGAGCTGGTAAATGACTCTTATTATGTGTTTGTGAAACAAACTTGCCTTTAATGGTTTTGGAAACATCTCTAAGTGCTGATATTCATAACCAACAGGGTTCCCCCAATGAAAATACTTTATGTCAGTGTTACTGATTTAAACTGAGTCGTTAGGCAAACTGTACGCTATTGGTCTTGCACAATGTACAGCTTCAAGGTTATTGAAATGAGTTAAAACAAACTAGTGGCTGTAATATATTTTTCCGCTGCTACATTTTGGCTCCACAGTTGTGTCACTGGCTGCTGTGTCTGGCTGCCTGTTTGCTATTAGCTTTCTTAATATTCTGATCTTATGTTAAAGGTTGCTCTGTCAGTGCTCAGGAACATTTATTTTTTAGACTTAGTTCACAGACCTTTTCATCACACATTTTACTCCAACAGCTGTATCACATGACAATTATGCAGACTTATTTTATTGTTGAAAATGCAATATCCACTTATGCAAATGTTAGTAAGGGTGTACTTTTAGCTGTAGCAAAATACTTCCAAGTGTAGTTGAAATGCAGTAGCAAGAAACCAGCCAATATGATCAGAGCATTCGTGAGGAATGTCAGGATGTTTCTCTACCCCCTTTTGTTTATTTGTTTATTTGTGCTTAAATTAAATAGCCTTATCAACTAAAGTAGGTACAACACTAAGGTTTCCTTTACTAAAGAGAAGCTGAGTAAGTGTGGCCGAAAAATTGTTTTGGGTAGGCTGGAGGCATAGCATTTATTTCTTCTTTTAGACTGTGAAGCAGATAGAAACTTTTCTGTGCTTAGCAGCTCATCTAATGTCAAGTGAAAATTGATGGGAAAAGAAATAGCTGTAAGACTGGTGGTATTTAAAATACACTGTACTTCTCTCTCTCTCTCTCTCACACACACACACACACACACACACACACGGACTCTCTCATTAGGGAGTTTTTCTTAATAAGAACAAAGAAATGAGATGATAAAAGACAGTGAACCGTGGACTCTGAGTGGCAGATAGAAGCGCAAAATGCCATCTGTTCTTTGCAATGAGGGTGTGTGTGTGTATATTTTTTGTGAGATCTTGAAGGAACTTGAGACTATATGTTGTTTTTTTTTCCAGTCAATGTTATATACCAAATGAGTTTTGGTATATTAGATCATCTCAAAATGCATGCAATTTCATTGGTTCTTTCTGTCCTTCAGAATGACAGAGTTGGAAAATGGCATGTTCATCAAAAGCGTCTCTAACTTCTACCATAGTGTTCTTAAAACAATGTTTCAACAATGCATGTTTTTCAGCTGGGAATGCACACAGTGTTCATCTTTGGGTGACATCAGTCCATGTGTGTTAGTGAAGGAAGGATGATACAACTCAATTCACTTTCCTTATTTGCAAAAAAGATTTTGCCTTATGGTGCTTTAAGCTTCTCATCTGATTGAATAATTTGAGGGAATAGCAGTTAATAATTGTGTTTTTGTGGTTCTGGTGCTGGCACAACTAAAGCCAGCAATCAAGAGTGGTGTCTGAAATGAGGAGAATATTGAAGAGATGGATTTTGCTTTGCGGGTTAGGTGCTTTACCTGATGTAACCAGGAGGGGCCTCTCTCCCCTTAAGATTGAGAGCCCTTGAGCACCTGCTTATTTAAGCTGTACGGGTGAACTCTGACAAGCAGGAAAAAATCCTGCAGCCATCCTTGTTCAAGTTTTCCACCAGAGAAAGGGCTGATATTGGTATTTGGAGTGCCAGGCTGTAACACTAAGGCAGAGTGTTAGAGGTGCCACTAAGCTGCCCCTGTGTAGGGATATTTACAGCGCAGCTCTGGGAAATGCAAGAAAAATGGCCACCTACCAGCTGCTCCGGGATGGAATGGATGAATCTTTGTCCTCTGCTGAAATGGGCCTATTTAATGTATAAAATGATTACTTTTGGACCAAGAGCATGAGGGTGAGTCATTAGCCCATTAGTCAGGATGCCTGCCTGGAAGCAGTGGCTATCCTGGATGCCAGTATTTGTCCCAAGGCTACTTTCCTGTGGCTTAGGAAGGAATCCAGTGTCAGCCTTTTGAAGCAGAGACTGAAATCCCAAAGTGTTCTTCCCATGCAACTGCAGCACAGCATGGCTGCGGAAGGTAAGGCTGAACAGCAAATGGCTAAGGTGGGTTTGCTTTTAAGTGGTAGAAAGCCCAGATTTAAGTTTTTTGAGGAAAGAATGGTGCCAGCTGTCCTGGAATGTGTTAGATGCTAGGTTTTATTTGTTTTTGTTTGTTTTTGGTACTGCTTTGTATTTCAGTGTTGTAAATGATCCCACTGATATAAAGTAGAACGAATTAAATCTCAGGACCCTGCACTTATTAGTAGTTGGAAATGTGTTGGGATAGTCAATGTTCTTTACTGGAGAATGAACTACCTCCCCCATCACCTCCTTTGGTTTTTAATTCCTTTATAACCTCTGAATAGTTCAGGAAAAATATTTGGAAAAATAAATGTGTTTAGCTGCTGAAAGATACTCAGAGATTGTTATTTTGCTAGTAGTCTTCAAGCAAAAGAAACAGGAGTCCAAGGAATGGATTTGTCTATAAATGCTTACAATTCATAATCTACTGTTTCAAATTTCTCTTGGACAAGATAGAGTTTAAAAAACTCTGAACTCTAGTTAAGATCAGCTAAATACTGAGAAAAGAGACATGGTTTTAAAAGAATTTGCTATCTATTTCTTTTTGACATAACTTTGCCTAAGGCAGGGATGCTCAAATGTCTGCTTCTTCCAGCTTCTTCCCGCCAACGTGCCATGTGCACTCGCATCTTCAAAGAGCTGAAACTTAGCTGCTCTGTATTAACCAAACTGAAAAAACGCAAAGCAGCTTCCCTGCTTTGAAGTCTATCAAGTATTGCAATCTCTTGTAAAGCAGTGGCAAAGTCAAGCAAGACCCGCAGGCCCATGCTGAGGACCAGGCAGAATTTTCTGCCCAGCTGCTTCCAAAAAGCGCAGCAGCACATTGTGAAAAAAGATGCTGTCATGAAGTCTGTTGTGGTGAGGGAGCATCTTTTACAGAGAAATGTACAAAAGCTAGAGATTTGGCCAAGGCTACTTGCTTCAGCATTTCAATCTCTAGCTGTCTTGGCTGCCCAAGCCCTGAGTTTCTTGGGAGTGCAAATCTTCTGCTTGAGGATTGCATTTCCTGTTAGGAAATATTGGTTAGGTATAAAGCTTTGTTAGATGTTTGTGGTCTTGTTGGGGGGCTGGGAGCCACCTGGGATGTGTTCTTGCAATGTTATAGTAACCTGTGATGCTGTTCATACTGAATAAATGTACCTTTAAGGCTAGGCAGTGCTTCCTGACCCAAGAACTGGTTTGTCTGTTCAGTTAACATTGCCTACTAGAAAAGGGATTGCATCTCTTTTCATGTGCCTATCATACAGTGTGTCTTTTAATGTAGCGAGGCAAGCTTTTGGCCTCACTTGTAGCATGCCTGTCTAGTGCATCTTCCTAGGATTTAGCTCTGTTCTGGGATATTCTGATGCATTGCTTCAAACTCCAAGTGGCAGACTAAAAATGCCAAATTATTCTCTGGTTACACTCCTGTAAAGGAGAGCAGAACTGATGGAAACTGTCGGCTTGGGTTGGCACACATTTGAAATATATGTATACCAAACCATACAGTAACATCCAGGTGGAGACTCAGTGTATTAGTCTGTGTGGAGGCTTGAGACAATATATGCCCCACAGGCACCCTAAACACATAGTTCTCTGCACTCCAGCTGTGGAGGTATTTGATTATTCCAGAATTAGATCTGCTGGAAAAAAGGCAAATGACAATACTGTGTGTATATCCAAGGTTAAGCAACATACATGCTCTTTTTTAAACCAAGCCTTAGGTTTTTGGACTAGGCATGTGGGCCTTTAAGATGCATAGTAGAAAAAATAAGAATGCTATGATGAAGCAACAAAAGCATTACAACTGTTCGGAATAAAAACAAAGAGGAAAAGCACAGCTAGGGTATATGGGTAAAAGTCTCATACTGTAGTTGACAAGAGTATATAGCAGATGATCTG